TAGATATTCAGACATCTCATCAAACCTGATCAATACTAGATATTCAGACATCTCATCAAACCTGATCAATACTAGATATTCAGACATCTCATCATCAAACCTGATCAATACTAGATATTCAGACATCTCATCAAACCTGATCAATACTAGATATTCAGACATCTCATCAAACCTGATCAATACTAGATATTCAGACATCTCATCAGACCTGATCAATACTAGATATTCAGACATCTCATCAGACCTGATCAATACTAGATATTCAGACATCTCATCAAACCTGATCAATACTAGATATTCAGACATCTCATCAAACCTGATCAATACTAGATATTCAGACATCTCATCAAACCTGATCAATACTAGATATTCAGACATCTCATCAGACCTGATCAATACTAGATATTCAGACATCTCATCAAACCTGATCAATACTAGATATTCAGACATCTCATCAGACCTGATCAATACTAGATATTCAGACCTCTCATCAAACCTGATCAATACTAGATATTCAGACATCTCATCAGACCTGATCAATACTAGATATTCAGACATCTCATCAAACCTGATCAATACTAGATATTCAGACCTCTCATCAAACCTGATCAATACTAGATATTCAGACATCTCATCAAACCTGATCAATACTAGATATTCAGACATCTCATCAAACCTGATCAATACTAGATATTCAGACATCTCATCAGACCTGATCAATACTAGATATTCAGACATCTCATCATCAGACCTGATCAATACTAGATATTCAGACATCTCATCAAACCTGATCAATACTAGATATTCAGACATCTCATCATCAAACCTGATCAATACTAGATATTCAGACATCTCATCAAACCTGATCAATACTAGATATTCAGACCTCTCATCAAACCTGATCAATACTAGATATTCAGACATCTCATCAAACCTGATCAATACTAGATATTCAGACATCTCATCAGACCTGATCAATACTAGATATTCAGACATCTCATCAAACCTGATCAATACTAGATATTCAGACCTCTCATCAAACCTGATCAATACTAGATATTCAGACATCTCATCAAACCTGATCAATACTAGATATTCAGACATCTCATCAAACCTGATCAATACTAGATATTCAGACATCTCATCAAACCTGATCAATACTAGATATTCAAAGGTGCTTCTATCATTTCTATTACACCTTTAACCAGTGGGAGCTTTCTTAGATATTACATGGTCCCCAGAGGAGGGAGAAGTACTCAGATCACGTACTTTAGTAAGAGTAGAAGTACTCAGATCATGTACTTTAGTCAGAGTAGAAGTACACAGATCATGTACTTTAGTAGAAGTAGAAGTACTCATATCATGTACTTTAGTAAGAGTACTCAGATCATATACTTTAGTAACAGTAGAAGTACTCAGATTATGTACTTTAGTAAGAGTAGAAGTACTCAGATCATGTACTTTAGTAAGAGTGGAAGTACTCACATCATTTACTTTAGTAGAAGTAGAAGTAGCCTACTCAGATCATGTACTTTAGTAAGAGTACTCAGATCATGTACTTTAGTAGAAGTAGAAGTACTCAGATCATGTTTTTTAGTAAGAGTACTCAGATCATGTACTTTAGTAGAAGTAGAAGTACTCACATCATGTACTTTAGTAAGAGTAGAAGTACTCAGATCATGTACTTTAGTAAGAGTAGAAGTACTCAGATCATGTAGCCTACTTTAGTAAGAGTAGAAGTACTCAGATCATGTACTTAGTAAAAGTAGAAGTACTCAGATATTGTACTTGAGTAAAATTAGAAGTACTCAGATCTAGTAGCCTACTTGAGTAAAAGTATAGAGTGTCTCTATACTTCTGAACGCCCCGGCAGATCTCTGTGTCCGCTGCAGCATGTCTGTTAGGCCCCGCCCCCGCACACAGACAGGGAGATCGCTCTTCTGGAGTGAAGAGAGCGGAAATAATGATATTGTAAGTTAGAAACGCAAGATGCATTTTGACTGACAAGACGGACAATTCGGGGGAAATATGCTGCATTTTGAATGTCGGATAGTCCACCATTAACACCTTAGTCTCGTCTCGTCAACGCAAACTAAATATACATTTCGTCATAGTTTTCGTTATCAAGAACTATGTTTAGCTCGTCATCGTCTCGTCTTAGTCATGTGAAAAAGGTCGTTGACGAACATTTTTGGTCTTAGTTTTTGTTGACGAAATGAACACTGCACAGCAACGAAAACAGGAAACACCCTTTAATTCACTGCAACGACATGTCGGGAAACCCCCTCAAGGGGGGCCATAGCGCAAACTGCTTAATTTCAGGTTCGTTGAGTAAATGGAGTACCCCTGATCTACAGTAGCCTACAGTATTATTCAAAGATTATGTAAAATACAAACAAAAACTGTGTTTGGAATAGAAAAGTTTGATATATAAAGCATATATATAATAATGATTATAATAAAAAACATTATTATATATAATATGTAGGTAGGTATATAATATGTTGTGATCTCTTAATCTATGCTTTGAGTCCTTCCCTTCACACAGGTACACCCACAGAGCCCCATTCTGACGGCCATTTTGGCTGCACTGGTTAGCTGGTGACAGCAGAGGGGGAAGTGAATAGTCAAACAAACTATTGTTATGAAAAGATAAGAGTCTCTGGTACATAAAAATGACATGTTTGGGTGATTGGACTCTTTAGTTTAAAAATGACAGAAAAGCATAAACATACCTTTTGCATTTTAAATGTCCTATTCCATTTCCGCCTATTTATGTGTGTTTAAATGTTAATATTACAAAGAAGGTCAAAGGTATTGCTATAATCTTTAACCTAACCCTTTATTGTATGCTTTACCTCTCTGTGAACCTTTAGGCCACATTTGGTGAAATTCTGATAATTATTTGTAGAGATAATGAGATAAGGCCAACACGGCCCCCTTCACAGGAGCGCACCTTTTTCGAAGTTCCAAACATTAACCAAAACAAATCATTTTGCTGTAAAATATTTGTATACAACAATCCGTTTCATAAACTAGACATATTAAAGTAATGAAAAAACATGGTTGTGCTTTGTGGTACCTCAACTCAACTTTTAGGGACCTTAGTTCCTCTACTGTAAACACATGACGCACTTCTTATGTTCCAACGTAAAGAACAAAAAGACTCACGTGCAGATGTGCAGTGTGGGCCTACTATTCCCAGGAGAAGCAGAAACAGCAACATCTTCATCTTCATCGAGGCTTTCTGTGTGAAAGCTTCTTTATCCACAGAAACACAGCCGTCCTTTCTGCAGAGCGGGATGCCAATGAGAGAGACACACAGAAGAGAGGTAACACCAGCTCCTCTGAGCCAATGAGAATTCAGTCTGAGCGGCGTGTCACTTGTTGCTCGGTAGACCTGGCTCACTCAGGTTGTGAATCGAAAGTAAAAGCAAGGCAAGTGTATTTATAGCACATTTCAACACAAGGCAATTCTAAGGGCTTTACAAAAATGAAAATGCACGTTAGTTAAGTTTAATTTGTCTTTTCTAGGACTTTCTAGGAGTGAAAGCTGATCTTGTGCTGCCTGAGTGAGAAGATGCAGACATGCTTCATTCTGCTGTCTCTGTCCTCGTGCTGCTCACACACTCTGTAGGATCACACACTGGGTTCTTTATCTGATTCCACTGAACAGTATTTATCTCATCCTACTCTAGAACACAGTTCACTTTAATCTACATCTGACTCGCACCATAGTGTCCCGTGCTCCATTCTCTTGCACTATTTGGTTTCTTTAAGGTTCAGAAATATGATATATATTATTATGAATCTTCTGGGATGTAACAGTGAGCAACAGATCAGACACTCTGCAGTCTGAATTTCTCTTTCTTCGACTTACTCCTTATTAGCTTTTGTTTCCAAATGTTGTAATGCTTTTGTCTCCAAATTAAAGAAAGAACCTTCCAGATCAATGCATGTAATTGTGGAGGATTGGCATCATCTGGTACATGTTGTAGTTTAGATGACAAGCAGTTGATTGCGTGAGTAATGGAGATGAGACCAGTGCTGGAATTGGGCAGTGAACATAAGTCAGAGGTACATGGTGTACTTTTCCTCCACTCCATGTATTAATACCTTTAGTTACTTCTCAGATCTAGATGAATGATGTGAAATATAATCAAGTGTTGAATCAGACTTTAGTTCCACCTGGAGTAAATCCACCAGCTACCCTGCAGTATACAAAGTACTTCAAACTAGCTGCACCTTCACCAGCTTTGAGAACACTTTCATGATCAATCATTATAAAACATATCATATATATTATTCTGAAATGGACCAATCTGCACAACGAATACTTTTACTGTCCTTCACTATATTTTGATAAGAATACTTTTCTACTTTCACTTGAGGGACATTTTGAATGCTTTTACTGTAACAGAGTATTCCTACACTCTGGTACTTCTACTTTGACTCAAGTACAAGATCTGAGTACTTCTACTTTGACTCAAGTACAAGATCTGAGTACTTCTACTTTTACTCAAGTATAGGATGTGAGTACTTCTACCTTTACTCAAGTACAAGATGTGAGTACTTCTCCCTCCTCTGAGAGTGTAAATATCTAACAGCAGTTTTAATGAGAGTTAATGGTTCTCTAACAGGGGGATCTGGGGCCTGTGGGACCTTCAGGAGCTGTGGGAGAACACGGTCTGGGAATCATTGGGCCGAAGGTAACGTGAACACAGAATATAATCACTATATTGATTCATATATATATATATATGCTTCCTGTATGAAATGCATGGAGCAGCAGAGTTATACAAACTGATCCGGTCACATATTTTTAGATTATTTTTCTCAAAGCAAATATCAAGTTTTAACAACAGAGGACAAACTGTATGGAGAAAGTTACATGAAGGAGAATAGGTTTAAATGTTTAACTAATAAATACAAGTAAGACATTTGTCCTTTTGGTTACTTGAAATCAGATCATAATATTTTGAATTACAGGTTTTTTAAATGAACTCCATAAATCTGAATGTGTGCACCTGTAGGTCAGTATTGATGTTTGCTAATATGCAGACACATCAGCAATGTCTCACTTGCTGTCCTCCTGCAGGGCCAAAAAGGGAACAATGGACCTGTTGGACCTCCAGGGCTGAAGGGAGAAAGTTCCCCAGGACCTCAGGCGAGAGGAAACACTCGTCACACTTTAGTTATCCTCATATTTAAAGCAGAGGTTTGAAAGTGAACATGTTCTCTGTGATCGTTAGGGTCGGCCTGGATTACCGGGACTTCCAGGAGAGATGGGACCAGAAGGTAAAGGCCTACCTGGAGCTAAGGTGAGGCCACACAATGCATGAAGTGAGCGGACGTGTGCAAAGGCTCATGGGAAATGTAGTGCCATTCACCGTTACCGTAGTGAGAACATTTAAAATACATATTTATATTATGAACAGATTAAAGCTTTGGACCTGAGTTTAAGGTTCTTGGCTTTATGCAAAAAACTAAAAACAAAAGAAAGTTTAAATAGGACGGAGGATTCGCTAAGGCTCATGGGAAATGTAGTTCCATTCAACATACCATCGTTAAAAATGTGTTTTGTTGCAAGCAATTTGAAAACATTTCTCCAAAAGACAAAGCGTAACGTAAACCTGAAGATGATTCACCGATTAGAGACGGCTTCCACATATTTCTTGTAAATTGGAATAACTCCATGTAATAGTATGTGCATGCTCTTTATCGAATAGTGTTTCAATACGAATAAAGTTATTTTGATTCTTCGAACATAACACCTCTTCATGAATGTGGACATGGCTGCAGAATGTAGAGCACGTCATGTGGATCGATTGCAACAAAGACTGTTGATAGAATAAACTAAATGTACCTTTTCTTGTTCGTAGGGAGAGCCTGGCTTCAAGGGGCCGATGGGTCCTCGGGGGCTTCCAGGGGAGAAGGTACTCACATTTACACAGAACCACACTTTGCCTCTGGAACTGAACTGGAGAAGAGGTTTAGTTTCTCTGCTCCTGAGGCTTTGAAGCATGCTGAGACTCAGAGAGCTGAGACTCAAAGAGCTGAGACTCAGAGAGCTGAGACTCAGAGAGCTGAGACTCAGAGAGCTGAGACTCAGAGAGCTGAGACTCAGAGAGCTGAGACTCAGAGAGCTGAGACTCAGAGAGCTGAGACTCAGAGAGCTGCTTTCTTTACAGGTCTCCTGTTCTGTAGAATCCACTTCTTCATGTCTCTACATCAACATGTGTCCCCTCTTCTCCATGTCTCTTCTACATCAACATGTGTCCCCTCTTCTTCATGTCTCTTCTACATCAACATGTGTCCCCTCTTCTTCATGTCTCTTCTACATCAACATGTGTCCCCTCTTCTTTCATGTCTCTTCTACATCAACATGTGTTCCCCTCTTCTTCATGTCTCTTCTACATCAACATGTGTCCCCTCTTCTTCATGTCTCTTCTACATCAACATGTGTCCCCTCTTCTCCATGTCTCTCCTACATCAACCATGTGTCCCCTCTTCTTCATGTCTCTTCTCAACATGTGTCCCCTCCTTCTCCATGTCTCTTCTACATCAACATGTGTCCCCCTCTTCTTCATGTCTCTTCTACATCAACATGTATCCCCTTTTCTTCATGTCTCTTCTACATCAACATGTGTCCCCTCTTCTCATGTCTCTTCTACATCAACAGTGTCCCCTCTTCTTCATGTCTCTTCTACATCAACATGTATCCCCTCTTCTTCATGCTCTTTCTACATCAACATGTGTCCCCCTCTTCATGTCTTCTACATCAACATGTGTCCCCTCTTCTTCATGTCTCTTCTACATCAACATGTGTCCCCTCTTCTTCATGTCTCTTCTACATCAAACATGTGTCCCCTCTTCTTCATGTCTCTTCTACATCAACATGTGTCCCCTCTTCTTCATGTCTCTTCCTACATCAACATGTGTCCCCTCTTCTTCATGTCTCTTCTACATCAACATGTGTCCCTCTTCTTCATGTCTCTTCTACATCAACATGTGTCCCCCTCTTCTTCATGTCTCTTCTACATCAACATGTGTCCCCTCTTCTTCATGTCCTCTTCTACATCAACATGTGTCCCCTCTTCTTCATGTCTCTTCTACATCAACATGTGTCCCCTCTTCTTCATGTCTCTTCTACATCAACATGTGTCCCCTCTTCTTCATGTCTCTTCTACATCAACATGTGTCCCCTCTTCTTCATGTCTCTTCTACTCAACATGTGTCCCCTTCTTCTTCATGTCTCTTCTACATCAACATGTGTCCCCTCTTCTTCATGTCTCTTCTACATCAACATGTGTCCCTCTTCTTCATGTCTCTTCTACATCAACATGTGTCCCCTCTTCTTCATGTCTCTTCTACATCAACATGTGTCCCCTCTTCTTCATGTCTCTTCTACATCAACATGTGTCCCCTCTTCTTCATGTCTCTTCTACATCAACATGTGTCCCCTCTTCTTCATGTCTCTTCTACATCAACATGTGTCCCCTCTTCTTCATGTCTCTTCTACATCAACATGTGTCCCCTCTTCTTCATGTCTCTTCTACATCAACATGTGTCCCTCTTCTTCATGTCTCTTCTACATCAACCTGTGTCCCCTCTTCTTCATGTCTCTTCTACATCAACATGTGTCCCCTCTTCTTCATGTCTCTTCTACATCAACATGTGTCCCCTCTTCTTCATGTCTCTTCTACATCAACATGTGTCCCCCTTCTTCATGTCTCTTCTTCATCAACATGTGTCCCCTCTTCTTCATGTCTCTTCTACATCAAACATGTGTCCCCCTCTTCTTCATGTCTCTTCTACATCAACATGTGTCCCCTCTTCTTCATGTCTCTCTACATCAACATGTGTCCCCTCTTCTTCATGTCTCTTCTACATCAACATGTGTCCCCTCTTCTTCATGTCTCTTTCTACATCAACATGTGTCCCCTCTTCTTCATGTCTCTTCTACATCACATGTGTCCCCTCTTCTTCATGTCTCTTCTACATCAACATGTGTCCCCTCTTCTTCATGTCTCTTCTACATCAACAGTGTCCCCTCTTCTTCATGTCTCTTTCTACATCAACATGTGTCCCCTCTTCTTCATGTCTCTTCTACATCAACATGTGTCCCCTCTTCTTCATGTCTCTTCTACATCAACATGTGTCCCTCTCTTCTTCATGTCTCTTCTACATCAACATGTGTCCCCTCTTCTTCATGTCTCTTCTACATCAACATGTGTCCCCTCTTCTTCATGTCTCTTCTACATCAACATGTGTCCCCTCCTTCATGTCTCTTCTACATCAACATGTGTCCCCTCTTCTTCATGTCTCTTCTACATCAACATGTGT